ATTAATTTTTTTTTTTTGGTTCTTAAAATTTGAATTTAGAAAAAGAGTTTTGAAAAAATTATTTTCAAATTTTTTCGCAAACAGAAAAATTAGTAATAAAATTACAGATTAGTGTTTAATAACAAACATATCATGTTTTTAAACACTACATTTTTTGAGTTTTTTTTTTTATTTTTTTTTTTTGTTGTTCTTGAGTTTTATTATTACATACATTTTATGTATAAATTATGTACAAAATTGTCCAAGAGATTTGGGTACACGAAATCTCTGTTTATAACACACCCTGCGTGGTGATGTCCACCAAAATGAAATTAAAAAAATGTTTTTTTTCTTTTGTTTATTTATTTGATTTTTGTTTTTTGCAATTTTTTCTTTTTTTATACTAATTTACAGGAAAAAAAATTTTCTTAACAGTCCTGCAAGAAAAGTTTAATAAAATTATTAATTAATTTAATAGTAATAATGGCAAAACAAAAAATAATTATAATAAATAAATGAACTTACTCTTCATTCAATGCCCAGCAAATACATCCGTTTCTTACACAATCACTTCCAATAAAAGTGTGAGATCTAAACAAACCATTCATCCTTTTGGGCAGCTGCTGCCGCGTTTGCTATATTGGTTTGGCTTAGACCTAAATTTGTGGTTGAATTTTGTGTAAGATCTTGCGGGTGTTGTCCTAATTGACGGAATTTGCTAAGCACCAGATGGGACGGACTTTGGTGGCCATCTTCAAGTAATTGTGTAGAATGCGGTGGTACCCGTATGGTCCCGCAGGGTGATGCCAGTTTCCCGACGTCGGCGGTAATTGTGTATGATCTCTAGTCAATGTCCCGCCATGCGTGTAATGCAGATGTTTCGATGAACCGTTCGTTTCAGCGGTATGATGTACTGAATGTGAATAAAAAAAATTAAAAAAAAAAAAAAAATCAAAAAAATTTCAAAATCTCTCTCTTATTTTCTATTATTTCTATATTATTATTACTATTATTATTACATTGTATAGCTGTATTTTGATTTGTAGTATTATCCTCTTGCCGTCGGCAGACACATATCGAAATTCCCACAATGATTGCACTTAATATTAGCAATAAGCTGACGACAATTAATACAAACCAAGTCACATCCATACCGAACACGGTGTTAGTGGTTTCATCTATGCATCAAAACATGGATTATATAAATTTAGATGAGTGCATACAGAGTTGGATGTAAAGAAATATATCATACTTACTTTGGCATAAATTATGAACTGACTCATCTGAATTATCGCTGCAATGATTAATGCCATCGCATAGTAAATCGGGATGTATACAAAACCCATTTGTGCTGCAGGTAAAATCTTTGCAAGTGTGCCCTGGAACAAAAAACAAAAAGAAAAGAAGCAAATTTATCTTGCAAAAGCGTTCAAATTAAACGCACAACAAATTAAAACGGTACAACTGGGCCGGGAAACCACAACCGTCAAAATACATATATATATATATATATATATAGCAAAAATTATATCTGATTGCCATTTTAGGTTCTATATTCGATGAAAGCATTTTTTATGGTCGAGAGGGGTTGGGGGAGGGGTGAAAGTTGGGTTTCGAAAAATAGACGAATGTGGACCAAATTACTTCCAGTATAAAATAATAAAAGTACGATTTGTTACCATCACCAAATTCATTTTTTGTAAGAACTGGGCGAAGTTTCAACATACGACCGCATCTCATTCGAATATTTTACAATCACTAAATAAGATAAATGATTTCACCAAAGTTATATCGAGGCATATTGACACGTAAGACAGTCCCCGAATCTTTTAAACCCTCCCTACCTTTATTGAAAGAAAGGGAGAAAATTAAAATCATATAATCTATACTCTATAACAATTAAGGGGTGCGACTGATTTTCACCATCAAGTTTATAAGTAATCAATGAAAAATCTACAACTCAAAAACCCAGGTGTTCTCAATGGACGGTTGGTTTACCGACCGATTTAACCCGTTTTCAATACGAACGTGCATGCAAACATACTTTGGCAAAATTTAAAGGCGAAAATGTTCACTACAGATACTACGCACATGGGTGTATCGATATCAATATATGCTTTGGGGGATCTTGGAAGCTTACTTCTGGGCGTTGCGAATGTGTATCACCGTAATAATTCGGTGATGGGCATAAAAATGTTGGCAATGTTTATGCCTTGGAAGCATAAAGGGCGAATGCTTCACCTTTTTCTGCTAATAATTTGATTGAGAGATTGAGGGATTGAGATCAACCTCTAAAACACTTTTTGGTTATGCTTGATTAAGAAAAAAAATTTAGAAATTTTTTAGTCTTTGCCGAAATTTTGAGCGATCTTACGCTCACCCAGCTTACGGGGCAGACAGATTAGTTATAGTTAATTGAAAGGGAGAAGGCAGAAGAAGGGAGAAGAAGAAGAGGAAGAAGAAGAAGAAGAGAAAGAAGAAGAAAGAGAATAAACCTCAATGTCCTCAATGGTTGGCGTCATTATGAAAGAAATGGCAAAATTATCGCAACTCGATCCAGTTCCCGGCGTTAAGCATAAACAGTAATATAGAACATGCACAGCGATATAAATAACAAAATATAATGCAAAATGTGAACGACCAATGTGCATGCGAATGCGTGGGTGCAGGTGTGGGTGCCTGTGCTTGTTTGTGCATTTGTGTATTTGTTTGACGATAACATGAATTTTTTTGCAAGTATGAATGAAGACTAATGACGCTTAGTATGCTGTCATGAATATTTTAAATGTATAACAGGCAGTTGAAGGTGAACATTTTTTTTTCTTTTTTTTATTATTACAACCACACAGACACACACACACATATATAAACGCACACACATTCTCTTATATAACATATATATACATTTATTGTACTTACTAGGATCCTTCACTGATGTTATCACCAACTTAAAACCGTTCGCATCGGTACCCCAGTTGTCTGTTACATACTTTAAAGTAACAAAATTAGTGCGCGTCAACATGGAACTAACTGTTTGCTTAGTTTGGCGACATGATATATCGATCTATGGAGTAATGAGAAAATATGCATATATATATATATATATATATATATATTGGCCATGTTTGTATTTATATAACAAAGTATTTTTAAACATTTACGATATGGAAAAAAGAAAAAAATGATAAAAATATTCTTGTTTTTCTAGTACACTTGGAATTGTCTTTTTTTCATTTTTTTTTTTTCCTCTTTCTTTGTTAACTTTAATGAACGAAAAGTAATTGTGTGTATGTGAAAATTTTAAGTCAACCAATCTTTGGCCAAACTCTTGAGAGCGAAACTACTATTGAAATAAAAAGCATTTATATATAACGACTTTTGTGATGCACTCAGCTGATAGATACGCGTATGTCCGTAGCGAAATATCATTTGTATTTTGTTTTTCATTCATTCGTCGAAAATATATTGTCAAGCGAAGATTTAGCTTTTCGCCAATAATTAAATAAAGTTATTGTAGAAAAATCTTAGTTTATTCAAAGTTTTGTTCTACGTTGAACTTGAACATTTAACGTAAAACGCACATATATTTCTGACGCATTTCCTTTTTTTTCTTTTTATGAATAGTATAAATATATGTATGTAAGAAACGAACATCCTGAACACAAGTCGTTTTCGCAATTTCGTTACAGTGAAGGCGTTTCTTCGCCCCCCATCTAGTCAATGCTCACACGTTTACACAAACGAAGAATTCAACTGATCGCAAATGATAACTGGTGATTGTCTTTAGATGTAAACTTGGACGCTTATATTAAAAATGTTCAAATACAGCCTCTAAGGGAGGGTGCACTCGGCATCATTTACATAATGGCATTAATCTTGGAGTGCTACAACGAATTCATGGGTACGGGCAACTTCTTCACCTCTGAGCAAACCAAGATATATCCAACAATTTAACGGGATAATCACAGATGCCGTAAAATTTCTGAACGTCCGTTCCCGGCCGTCAAGATGAAGACATACCAAGAGGGAACTTTGGTCCCATGGGCCCATGATACCCGTGGGAGCCCTCAACTGTTTCATAAAGGCAAAGATAATACTTGAAGGTATCGTATAGGTTTGCTTTTTCTTCGACCTTTATATAATCACATCTCCCAAGCTGTTATTATCTTACCCCCTAAATTTTCATCGTCCACGAACCAATATCAACATAACCCAAATCAAGCTATGCTGTCCGCCCAGCTACTACTTCTTCGGTCGCTAAGTGTAAAGACGATAACCAATGTGCCTTCCACAGCAGAAGACATGAAAAAAAGAAACTTCTTCAGATAAACCCCTTTTCGTTAATCATAGGGTGCGGATCGCATATCCAGTGGGAAGGTTGTCGCCCTGCACATAATATAGTTCAAAAAAGTAACTATATTGTAAAGTTTAACTTTAATGAATTCCCTTCCCATTCCCTCCTGGCATGAAACCCAAGAATTGGTTTGATACTGGCCAGCGGAAGAGACTTTGACCTTACTGACATGGGAAGAATGGTCTTGCATCGTAGCTTACCTCCAATTTGAACTTCTAAGACTAATCGCCTCTAAGGGCGATGGGTAACAGAACAATAAACTAAAATGATGTAACTTCGAGAGGGAAATACAAAGACTCTTTTCTTGGACTGGATATCTATGGAGACATTTAGGTAACGACATAATTTATAATATACCTACATGGGCATGTTTATGAATTTGAATCGTATAGATCCTTATATATATTTGACATTCTGCAGATATTGCGAGTCTACTTTGTTAGGTCTGTCCATCTGTCCGACGTCTAGCTTTTTCGCCTACTGGCCAAAACCTTAAATAAAATCTTATAATTTCATCCAGATGTTCGTAGTTATGCAGTTAGTTATTCATAGAGTCATGGATGTGGTGCTCAAGCAAGTGAAGAAAAAAAAAAAGTGCTTTGTACTAACGTGAATTCAAATTTTCTCACTATTCTTATTCGTTCCCTCTTATTTGGTTTCTTTATACAGTAAAACCTATATTTTACTTTTACATTTACGTATACGAGTGTAAATAACAACTAACAAACAGCCCCGAAAGCTTATTTATCATACTCTGAGCCCCTATGTGTTCTACCGTTAGGAACTTGTACTGTCGTTTTTGTATTTGCTGCTTCGTATACCTCTTATAAATGTGTATATGTGTGTATGCCTAGATAATATCTGTTAGATTTTATGACTTGCACTGGTTTTTGTGTCATTTAACAGTAAATTCATAATATACTCGCATAAAAGAGAGCATAAGGACAGAGATTACACAGCAATAATTTAAAGAGGTTTCATATCAAATTTTCAATATTATAATTCTTAGGTTAAATTCAATGTTCATTTTTAATGTGGAACTAAGAAAATTTGATATGAACATGTTTTCAATTAGCCGAATAAAGTCTACACATCTACATGGGACCATAGGAGAGTAGGAGTAAAGGAATCGCATTTAAAACCTAACTACAAGTACGAGGTTCGATTCAAAGCTCGTACATTTCATGCCATCCGTTTTCATTTTGTGATATCCTCAAATAGGATGCATAGAGTCTTACAAGGAAAGTACTTATACTCTCTAACTAAATCTCTCAACTAAAGGCATAGGAACATCGATAATCTCGGGAAACGACTCAACATATTAGGATGAATCTCTCTAGCGCTTTTTATGAAATTTGAAAACTTTTTACAAGTAAAAAACATCTCTGTCTGTCTATCTTCCAGCAAAAACACCTTGTAGAACATTGTAAATATAAATTGTCAGTATCCGGAAACTTAGCTGTAAGGCGACGTATATAAAGTATTAAAGTGTCGTTACATAACCTAGTATACTGAATATGTAACATACTGTCATAAATTTATATAATGTCACATGTGATATTCTGAGTCTGCATGAAAGATAACCGATTTTCGCAGAAACCAAATTCTCGAAATGTGTAAAACCCAGTAGACATTTAGGACGCTCTCCCTGTCGATACGAGTGACAGCTAGTGAGCAGATTAACCAGTGATTCACAGAACATTTCACAGCTAAAAAGCGATTAGCATGGGACTGTTACAATGAAACTTAGTATTAATCATAACTTGTTTGTGCCAAAGAGTGTATAAGCAAAGCATTTTCAGACGGCAAAGTGAGTCGAGTCAAGAGATTTCAATCATTATATTCGGAAAGCGAGGAAAAGCAAAATCAGCATTGTTACTATCAGTTTAGGTGACGTTCAAACAAGTACGTATGTGTCTCTACATTGGACGCCTCTTTTAGGTGTAAACAGGCGTGTGTGTGTGTGTGTGTGTGTGTGTCTATCAGAATTAGTTTTATGTAACCATTATATCAATTTTATTTAACCAATCAAGTAATAAGTCTATCTCTGTCCTCTTTTATCTAAAATCTGTTGTCTAAATGAATTGTACGGCAATCCGGCAGTGCCGCTCCGCTATGAGAGGAATTAAAGCCTATGAGTCATGCGTACATGCCATAGCTGAGCTAACTAGTTCGTGACGTGTTCGTATACGTTCTATATTTCTGGTCACGGACACTCCTAGACATTACAGCTATTCGCCCCTCCCCCCATCATATATGCGGTCTGACGAAGCACTAATCTACCGAAATTTATGCAAGCATCTATTAGTAATGATCATTATCTACTTAAATAAAATTCATTTCTAAGGAAAAAAAAATAAATAAATAAATGAATGAGAAAAAGTCATTTCTCAATACGTTTTCCCACATTTGCAATTAGTTGTATTGTATAATACAAGCGATCCATAATATAAAGTTAAAGTCATCTAAATATGAGTTATTCTTTTCCTTTGTTTTTGTTTTTTATTATTTTTTTTGTTTGCAAAAAAATCGTAAATATTGATAGTAAATATTGGGTGATTGCAAAAGTTCGTGACCGATTTGCATAGATGGCCGACGTACGGCTACGCTTTCACAACTGTGCTGATATTTCTTTTGTAGTCATATTATTATTAACTGACAGTTAAAAGATTCATTCTATGCTTAAAATAGAACTTATCTCCCTTGACATTTCTTTGACGTCAACTATTATTTTGTGATTTTCTTTATGTTTTTATTTTTAATATTTATTTATTTTTTCTTTCCCTTTTCTTGGATGCTGCTAAAAATTTCCACCAACAATTACAAAAGTTACCATAGCTACAAATTCCACTTACTACGGAATTTTGAGTAGAATTTTTGTTAAATATATACGTATATATAATATAAAGACACAACCGGTTTAGTTGTTTTCTTTAAAAGGATAACAACAACAAAAATAATAATAATAACTACAACAATTTAAATGTACTTTTGAGCATATTCGGTTATACCATTTTTATAATCTGCTTCATGATATCAACCAAAGCAAAATGACAGAGAAAATAATTTGTTTTAGTTTGAAAGTATGAAGCAAAGGATATATATATATATATATATGTATAAGAATGTATTTTACATTATATTACACTAATGCATTATAGAAAAGGATGCGGTAATTGAGTGTATGTAAACACGATTGTCTGTCGCTCTTCTTAAAGAAGAAGCAAAGTATATAAAAACCACTTAAGCTACTTTACTTTCGTTCAAAAACGTTTGTTGTTTGTTCATCAACTAACGGTATATCCACTTTGTCCTCCCATATACTGTCAGTCCGTCTGTCTCAGTCCGTCCTCAATATTTAATACACATCAAGTGGTAATATTATCTTGTGATTTTTTTTTTTTTTTTTTTTT